CGTTTTTTTTATTCGCGCCTTCATTCCCCTCTGCCGATCTGGCTAATCTACATGCCTCCGTCGAAGGAGGCATGTAGTCTAGACACACCCTTAGTGTAGACCAGGGCATAGTGTCTAGTTAAAGTATTACAGCACCTAATTGGGGTCTCAGAACATGGGGGAGGGAGGAGAAGTTTCATACCATATGTGCTATAATTCACAGAGGTGAATTAAGGACACAGCTTTGGATTTAATTCTAAATCAGATCCTTAATGATTTTGAACCTACTGCACTGTATGTGCTAGTGTTTTATTTTTCTTCAAAAGACAAAGCAAAGGACAATTGTTCATGAAAGCAAAAGCATGGATATCTACCCAGTAAGTACTGGAAATGGTCTATATTTACATAATTTTTAAACACATTAGCTCAATCCAGATAACTGTAGTGCAATTATCAAAGCAGAAACAATATATTGTTTAAATATGAACATCACAATTCTTAAGATATCTGTTGTAATACAACAGAATTCAATTTTCTATAGTAATATTAATATTTAGGGCCAGAGCTTAACAATTATTATAAAATACATGCTGGAAAGAGTCAATTAATGTTTTTTATCAATTCTATATGTGTTCACAGTACTTTTGTTTTCTGCAGCTATTCTAGCAAATGGTGAGTATTTGCAAACAGCAATAATTTTTAGCAAATACTACAGAGTTCTGGAAAACAAACTTCAGATTCAGAATTGTTCAGAACACACGGGAATACATTTGTGAAGGCTAAAGTAAATGATGAATTATGAATTATTTACCCAACTCTGACTCAGGACATATGCTGATTGATTCATCCTCTATGCATCTCCCAGTGATGTCAAAGGAAAATGCATGCATGACTGAGAGCAATCAATGGCCCAGAGTATAAGCACTTTCTAATATAACATGCTACATTAGGTCATGGTAGTATAGTCATAAGTCTTAAGGATCTACATAGATCTAAACCAAATGTGTACTATAATCAGGCTGAAGCCAAACCCACATATCTGGTTGATATGGCTGATATTTGGGGCTTGATATGGCTGATATTTGGGATTTGAGATTATACTCTTGTAAGGAACTCTACTCTTTTTGAATGGACTTTCTACAAAAGCTTTTCATTGAAACAATCCCAGTGGACTATCACCTCCATGACACAGCAGGTCACTGGTGCTACTTCTGAGAATGCTAGTTGTCACTGCTTTGGAAACCCTGAATATTAAAGCCTCTCCCTCTTCCCAGCCATGGGGCCAGATTTTTAACTGGTCATAACTTCACTGACTGAAGTTGAAGTCAGCTGGCTTGTCAATTTATATCAGTAGAAAACCTACCCCCCCAGTATGAGGGCAATCCATGAGCCAGTATGAAATATTTTGTTTCTCTTTATAGTTAACGACAATGAACCCTTGTAAGGATTTTTAATGAAGATGAACAGCAAAGCCTGCAAGTAACTTTTGTGACAGACATTTGGAACGCACCCTCACGAACAAGTCCCAAAGAAAGTACAAGTTCACCTCTTCAGAGAAAAGCTCATTAAAAACTAGCAGATCTCAGTGGTTTTATTGCAAACCAATCAACCTGAACCTGTAAAAGAGTCTGACCTCACCCAGATTCATGGGTCTTCTATTTTTGACTTTACCTGCTAGTGATAGGAATTGATTTCAAAGGCTCTAAAATTAGCTCTGTACATCAAAGAATTGTTATAACATGTCTTAGTAATGTTGCAGTTTTACAGGTTTTGCTGTTCTCTGTGTGCTCCTTAATTGGAAAAGTGTAACCCTCGAATCCAGGAATTGGTGACTGAGTTAACTGTCCTCCTGAAGGGTCGCTTGAAAATTGACTTCCTCATAAGTGAGGCTGTTTCCACAGGAAGCAGGTGGAAACCGGAGAGTACTTCTCATAAAGTTAACAAGGTCACTTTGCTGTGCTTAGGCCTGATGTAATTTAAGTCCCCTATTGGCAGTGAAGGTAGGTAAAACACTTTGCTGTTACAAATCAGCTCTTTTAAATCGGAGGCAGTGATCTTTTGCAGTTTTTAACTCGCAAAAAATAATAGATGAAAACGGCCAAAAAAATAAGAGAAAAGATTTTTACAAGTGTATCTAGAGCTGTGGTGTCCAACACACTAGCCACTAGCCTCATGCGGTTGTTTGGCTGGTTGAGTATGGCTAGTGGACTTGAATAATGTGGTGATTTGGCCAGTTGAGAATGACTAATTCACAATAGCAGCCACTGATTCAAACTGGTTGGGCACCACAGATCTAGAAGAATATTTAATTTGTAAAGTACAGTAAACAAATGCTTCTTGCATCTGGAGGAAGTAATGCTGTGCTCCTCATATAAACTGTTCACACTGGAAAATATATTATATATTTATAGCATTGCTGACATGTTCAATGCTAATTGGAAATTCAAATGTGTATATAATATGTATGGCAGCAAGCATAACTCCAACATACATCATACTAACATACAAGGAATCCATCAGGAAGGTACCTCGGTGTCTTGTTTTTATCTTTAACATCTTTTTGTCTGTTTTCCTCACAGTTCCACCCTTTCTGCTTCTCGGATGGAAGAAACTGTGAAGTGGTAAAAGGAGGTTGTTCTCATAAAGCTTTGATGACTTGACCATCTGGCTGGGAACTCTCATAAAGGCAGCACTGCAGAGGTTAGGAAGGTCAGAGATTATACAAGCCAGGGGCCAAAGAGGGTCCAGTCACTCCTTCAGCTGGAGCCCAACTCCTATCTGATCAAGTCCATACCTCAGTCATCAATCTCAAAAGAACAGCATCTGAATGGATTGTTGATAAACATCACTTCTCCCTCTCTCTCATTTGCTTTCATAAATCTATGAAACCATAAAGAAAAACTCTCTGCCCATATCCTGTTGTAATAGCTTCCATCCTTTCCCAGTGCTCCACTCATTAACAAGTGACCTGAAGGCAGGAGAAAAAAAAAACTTTTGCATAATGGATACTTGATGTTTAGAGACAATAAAAGTAAACAGGCCTGGTTCACTAAAAAAGTGAAAAAAAAATGTTGTTCTGTCAAACACAAAGATTGCCTGATTATAAAAGTTAGCTGAAGAATCAGTAGATGTTGGTAGCACACTTGGTATTTGAAAATTGTTTTTTGTCTGGAGTATTATCTGCCTGCCTACACACACACACTCTCTCTCTCTCTCTCTCTCTCTCTTAAAAGATACCTGTAGTACATCTATCCATTATATGTCCACATATGAACGTATCTAAAACCTCTAAATACAAATTTATGTTCTTCAGAGGTGCTAATGTTCCTGGCTATAAGTGTTCAGCATCAGGTTCATGAATTGCAGGCTTCATTAGTCTTAAAATGGTAACAAAGGAAGATGCGTCCTAAAAAGTGTCATCCTTCATCTGAGAGGGCAGTGCCTGACACATTAGGAATCTATATGCTCAATTAACCACTGGCAGGCTCATTTTTTCTGTTTCTCCTCTCCCTCCCCTCCCCCCACTAGCCTTTTCCCCTGATTCCCCACCCTTCTCTCTGACTGGAATCTTCAGTGTTCACCACTGATAGCTCCGACTATATGCAAACGCTCAAATACAAGATGACTTGAGGGATTACTTTTGGCTGCTGCTTGTTTTTATTCTAATACTTTTATGGTGAATAGTCAAACAATTTTATTCTAGTGTTTTGCTTTCAAATGCCAAAAATAGGGCAAAACAAATCCCTTGCTATAAAAAGTTAATTTACAAATTCAAAATCTAACCCCATGATGAACATATTTGGTGATTAAACTGTAATTTGTATTCACCACCCTTGAAATCAAGGATAGTTATTGAGGAAACAGTACTACACCTTCCTAGCCTTATTTTCGGAGAATTTATATGCTAAGGAGTTACTTTTGGAGTTGTTTATGATTTTTTTTTCTGTTTAAAAGACTAATCCTTAATTATTCAGGCAACCTCCCAGAAACATTTTGAACAATGAAAATTTTTGGTGGAGGGAATAAGAAGAAAAGAAGAAAATTTTTGGTGGAGGGAATAAGAAGGGAAAGCCAACAGTTAGGAAACATAGTCAATCAGCACACAGAGTTACTGCCTGTTATGTTACTGGATTTTAAAGTGAGCAGATAGATCATTGATGCACCTACGGGTAGTGTTTGCCCCAAATTCTGTACAAAGTGGGTGATGTGCGGTGTCAAATGAAAGCTTATACTCTACTGATTATGTATATGCTATCCATATGCTTGTATTATTTCTGTATGTGAAGTTATGACTATGGGCTCCGTGCTTGTATTGTAAATGTTCTCTGTCTGGGAGAGAGCAATGGGCCTGGACTGCCTATTGTGAGGAAGGATTGTTCAGTAAATAGCTGTGCTAACTAGCACTGCTTCATGGACAATGGCTCTCTGAGTGGCAAATACACACCTGAGGAATGTGTCTGGAAACCTGCAGACTGGCCAGTGCATAATGGCTACTTGCATGTGAAACAGAGCTAGATCACTTGATCATGTGACCAGCTTCAGTTTGGGAGACACCAGGAATATAAACATTCCATGAGACTGTCTCCATCTTGTCTTCAATATTGCTCCTGCTTCCAGATGCAGCTGGGACAGAGAGCTGGGAAGGATTTGCTGACCCATCCCAATACAGGATGTACACCAGAGACTTCAAAGCAAGCAGTTCGTAACATCTATGCTGAAAGCCTGCATCAAGAACCAGGTGATTGATGTATGTAATGTATTCTCCTTAATCTTATTCTCAACCTTTTCTTTCTTTTATTAATAAACCTTTAGATTTTATATTCTAAAGGATTGGCTCTGCATGCTCTTGTGGGTAAGATCTTAAGTGTAAATTGGCTGGGGACTGTGGCTGGTTCTTTGGAACTGGGAGGATCTGTTTGGAGTAGGTGAGATCGGGTTTTATAACCTCTAACCTGTGTGTAAGGCTGGGGGCTGATTGTGGCACAGGGAGAGCTGGGATGTCTGAGGGGTTTTGCTGGACAGATTTGCAGCTGAAGCGCTCTGTGCAACTGGTTTGTGGCCTATTTTGGGAAAGGGCTTCAGTCAAGGACTGTAAGTAGTCCTGGTTTTGAGCAATTCGCCCTGAGCTGACATCCTCAGCAGTGCCCAGACCCAGCCTGGTCTGTCACACTGCCCTACATGGTTACTCCCCCATAAATATTAGTGTACACATGATTAACTGTACAGTCTGTATAATATGCTAATCCCTTCATTCTGATTGGCTGATCTGATTGAAGGACAGTCTGCCAAGCGGTTTCTGAAGAAAAAAGAGGAAACTAGGATAACAGTTTAAAGATATTTATGAGGAAGGAAATGAAGAGCAAGGGTGACAGGGAGAAATCAGTTGTGTAGTGTTTAAAAATACATTTGAGTTATGAAGTTTAAGAGAATCATCACATACCCGTATTTTTTCCTATAGTGAAGAAACTAATCTAAAGTTATTTTTGCACATGTATCTTATTTTCCTCTTTTGGCATTGTCCATGTTGTCTGTATCTTTTTTTTTTTTTTGGTCCAGCATGTAACACACATGGAATTGCTTGTTACAGAAAAATAAAAACGTTCTGCAGAAATACAAAAAAATGTTTTGCATTAAAAGTCTTTTAAAACCTAGCCAATAGAATACATAATCCTGTCTGGTTTTGCCTTTCTTTTTGTTTCTTTCCACAAGCTAAGTTGTTACTGTGTGCTGATCTAAGCAAAGTGGCATTTAGGGGCTCATACAAAGCACATTGAATCAATGGAAGGGTTCCCTTCAAATTCTGTGGCCTTCCAATAGGGCCCTTACATACCAAGGTGATAAATATTTTCAAGTACAAGTACAATGTATTGGTGTCTCTCCATTTATTTGCCCTTATGCTAATGATTATAGGCAATGTCTTATTAGTCATATGCTCTTGCCGCTTATTGGGTTATTGACACTCAAACTCAGCATTCTGGGAAAGAATTGCTAACTGGAAGCTATAGAAGCTTAACAATTGGACAACAACATTACAAATTATCTTTCTCTTTTTAGGCATGGCATGTCTTGGTCTTTAAGTCTTAGGCAGGTCCATGGTTTCCAGGAGAGGAACAGTGTGAGAGGATATATTATAATTTGTATTGAGCTATGAAAATGTAAAATGTCTAGGAACTTCATGCACTCTTAAATAATATATATCACATGTTCTAGGTCAGGTGAGTGGTCTTTCATTAGCTGTGTTATGTTTGCCCAGTGCAATTTTAAGGGGATCAGATCTCTAGCTTTTAACATGTTGAATTATCAAAGCTTATGTTATCTGAATGTATTATTTATGTGAGATCAATCTATTCATAGTGGATCCAATTTACCCAAGATTGGCACCAGATTTGGCCAACACACACCATGGTAGAGATTGCCCTATGATAAAATGTCTACTATAGACAGGTTGCAATGCCTGCAGCCTTCTTTGCACAAGTATGCCTGTAGCTGGCAGCACTGAAAATGGGGAGCTCTGGCTGGGGACCGTGCATGGGGAAGTTACGTATTGGATGTTTTATCAACACACTGGACAGCGAGTCAAACTATCCTCTCTTTAGGGAAAGTCCAGTGAATGCCAGTTATCAAGGTCTCTGCCTGCCCTCCCCTCTAGTGAATCACTTCTGGGTCCAGCACTCCAGGATGCTGGGATCAAACACTCTTTGTACAGGGCAGCATTAGTCTGAGAGAATCTTACTCCAAATCACTGGTCTATCAAGGTGTCATGAGGTCAGTCTGTAAGAAGCATCTATCTATCTATCTATCATCAGGTTTATCTAGAGCTAAGAACAAAAACAACAGAAAAAATCAACACAATAATTGTGTCCCACCTCCAACTATATCAAATGACAGACTGAGTTTGTGAAAACCACAACAGGGTGATATTTTACAATCTGTAAAACTTTAATGAATAAATGATTTTTTAAATTCTTCATTATTTAATTAGTTCTGGATATAAATGATTTTTTGTGTGTGAAATTTCTTATTTTCTATATTGGTAATTTTTCTTGAACTATACATAGTTCTTGAACTACACATCCAAAAGTCCACTATAGCTATTAATAACAATTAGAGGTAGCTAAATTCTGAATACAAAATGTACTTATTCAGTAGTGATCCAGTCAAATTCCCAGGGAAGTCATTGTAAGTTTGGTTGGGTTTTGAAACTCTTCTATCGCTTTTTTCTTTATTATTGGCATAAATCTTTACTTTTTTTATAGAGAACAATGCCATGGAGCAGAGTACATTGTCATGATTAACACTGAGATATAATTAACATGTACCTTGTGCAAGACATACTAATTTCCATGTCACTGTTGTGCAGAAGATTATCGATTGACTACAAGCAGAATTCATGCTACAAGTTATAAAAAAATGTTTGCAGTGTTTCAAGGAAGCATTTCATAAGCTTCTAATTTGGAAAATCATAATTGTCAAAGCAACGAGATACAAATTCTCCTCTAATATCTGGGTTTCCTGCCAAAAGATTTAACAACTTGTGACCCTGCCACTTGTCACATAAAATTGGGAAAGTGATATTTTGCAGTGTGAGTCCTTGAGAAACAAGTTGATTTGTGTCAAAGAAAACAAGCAGATTACTTACTTAATGCGTCTCTGACATGTCTCTGCTTCTGGTTACAGAAGTTAAGCTATAATTTCCTGTGAGATGTGTGAACAGAAGTAGTTTCAGTCTGAACACTTCATTCTTTTGATTACTGTATAATGCACAAACAATACTTGAAGTATTTGTATGCACACTTGTATTCTGATGCTTATATTTATTATATAAGTATCTACAACAAAGTCTACTTTTTCAAAATATGGCCTGTAAGTTTGCACACATTAATGTAAAATTACTGCCTGTGTATGAAGATATGGAGTAACTCTGCACTAGGCCTGAGTGAAAAGAAGTGATTTGTTAGATACAAATTTGCCTCCTTTTTTTTACTGGTGAGATATTCACAAGCAAATTATGATTTTTCTGAATATATTCATTGTTCACTTTTATTTATTTAATGACTATCTCAGTTATTTAAAGTTTTAGCTTTAATGGTGATTGGTCATACGAGTAACATTGTTTCTGTTCACTGAATGGATGGCCACATAAATCCTTACCACCCAAACTAAGGATTTAACAAAATACTTCCAGCACCTAAATTTAACAAAAACTCAAGCAGATCACAATGAAAAATTCTTCCTGGTACTTTTTTTGTGGACTAAATTAGGTGTTATCATTCTAGAAATAGTAAGAGTATGGAACTGCTGCCATATGAGGAGAGATTAATACTGGGACTTATGAGCTTAGAAAATAAATTACTAATGAGGGATATGATAGAGGTCTATAAAACCATGACTGATCTGGAAAAAGTGAATAACGAAGACCTATCTCTCTTCTCATAATACAAAACCTAGGGGGTCAAAAAAGAAATTAATAGGAGACAGTTTAAAAACAAATAAAAGGACATACTTCTGCACACAATGCATAGTCAACCTGTGGAATTCCTTGTCTTGTTGTGAAAAGTCCAAGATTATAACAAAGTTCAAAAAAAGAGCTAGAAAAATTCATGGAGGGGATGTCCATCACTGGCTATTAGCCGAGATGGACAGGAATGGAGTCCCCAGCCTCTCTTTATCAGAAGATGGGAATGATTGACAAGGGATGAATCACTTGATGATTACCAGTTCTATTTATTCTCTCAGGGGCATGTGACATTTGCTACTATCGGAAGACAAGGTACTGGGCTAGATGACCTTTGGTCTGACCCAGAATGGCCACTCTTATGCTCTTATGTTCATATCCAAATTTTGATTATCCAAATGTGCCGTTTACTTATTTAAATGTCTCCCATTTATACTTATTTAGGAACAGAGTAAAGATTAAAATAATCAAAACACGTATTACTCAATTTATCTTATTGTCAGAAAGCCAGGGGAAAAAAACATATCATGGAATCTGACCTCTTCAGGACCAAACGGGGCTTAGCAAGAATGCCAATTCCAAAGTCAAGAACCACTCACCAAGAAGGCCCTGATGCCAGTCCACTTCTGTTTAAATTAGCTGATGAATATCAAGCAAAATGCAGGACAATGTAGCACTTTAAAGACTAACAAGATGGTTTATTAGATGATGAGCTTTCGTGGGCCAGACCCACTTCCTCAGATCAAATAGTGGAAGAAAATAGTCACAACCATATATACCAAAGGATACAATTTAAAAAAATGAACACATATGAAAAGGACTAAGTTTTCATATGAAAAGGACTACGTTTTTCACATATGAAAAGGACTAAGTTTTCATATGTGTTCATTTTTTTAAATTGTATCCTTTGGTATATATGGTTGTGACTATTTTCTTCCACTATTTGATCTGAGGAAGTGGGTCTGGCCCACGAAAGCTCATCATCTAATAAACCATCTTGTTAGTCTTTAAAGTGCTACATAGTCCTGCATTTTGCTTCAGCTACCCCAGACTAACACGGCTACATTTCTATCACTATTCTGATGAATATCAAGTGACTCAACTACTGCAGTATAACATGAGGAGAGAGGTGGATTCTCAAACAATGAAAATCCAGCTAAAAGTGAAGAAAATAGGGTCTGAACACAGTAAATGCAAATTCAGTAAATAATGTGAATAAATCAGATGTTTTCTGAGTTTTACCTCGTCATTTCTCTCAGCTCCAATTTGCACAGAAAGTGTTTGATTCATAC